GTGCATGCCACAAGACAAAATGAAAGTGGGCAGACGGCCCCCCCCCCCCCCCCAACTCAATGATGGAGGCGGATGCAGCCTTGATCTGAGCACGTGTGCAGGTACGTCTACCTTAGCAAGTGCCGGCCGAGCCAAGCCGCCGGGAACAGGAAGAAGGCGTCTTGCTGTGACAAGTTCAAACTCTGCGACTCTGGCCCTGTCAGCGAAGGCTTTCTCGATGGATGCTCGTGGTACGTCAGCCGGCCATGTGTTGCCAACATCTGGGTCCAATGCAGCCGGACGGGGATACCACAGCTCCACGGTGCACTCTGCATGCGCCTGCATGCGCCTGCATGCGCCTTCCGCCTGCCAGGCCCCAGCTCGGTGCAGCTGGAGGCCCGCTTCTGCTTGAGGATGTTCGGGGCAGTGGGCAAACCTATGCGAACCCATTCTCGACCGCTGTCGGCTGCAGGCGCACTATGCGACATGGGCTACGAGGACTCCCTGTGCCCTTGGACTGACGTCATGGACAAAGTGCAAGCAGAATGCCAGGCACAGAGTCAGAGCTGCTATGTCGGCCCTATGTCTCCTCCAGGCCTCCTGTTCCAAGGCACGAGTGCCGAATTTCTCTCTTTACACAGTCGCTTCGACTCCACACTGGCATTGAGAGCAAAAGCCAGCGGGGCATCCTATAGGCCAAGCAAGCGGCAGTCCCCAAAGGGGTGCAAGCAAGTGGGCCCGGCCCGTTCGCGGGCGAACACCTTAGAAGGCCCTTCGAAGGCCCCAACCGGCGCGACGGATTTGCAGCGGCCGGCTGTGGGCGTTGCACGGTTTGGGTCCGTATACCCCAGACGGAAGGATTTTTCATTCATGTCGTGTACAGAGCAAGGCTGTCAACTTGGAATGCCTCTCCAAGCGTCAAGTCTGCAGGGCTGGAGTTGGGCACGCCGGCCCTGGGGCCGGAACTGCTGGCGAGAGTCTCGGTCCTGTGAGGATGCACAGGTGCTCAAGTGGCCTTAACGCAGAGTCACCGCCTGTCGCCGTCTCACAACCTGTTGAAACGCCAGCCAAGGCAGGGTCCGAGGACGCCATGCCAGGGGCCTATTCGGCTCCTCGCGCGTCATGGATGACGGCCTTACACCCCTCTCGATCCTCTCGGAGATGGCCTTACACTGCCTTACGCTTACGACTTTCAATGTTTTTTTGTCCAGGTTCATGCTTCCCAGCGCGGCAGTACCACTTCTTCCTCCTGCAATTGATCCTGCGATTGGTCTACCAGGGCGCGAGCCGGAGGAAGCCTGCAAGCGTTTGAGCTTTCCGATACATGGGCTTTGAAGGGTGACGCTGCCACCAGCATGGCCTGCCGCTGGCATGCTGTCAGGGACCCAGGCGCTCATTCCTGGCTCTGCTGAGCCTGGCTGAGCCTCGCTTAGCGCCTGAGGTTAGGGACTGAGCCCCCGCCTGGCCTCGGCTTAGAGCTACAAGGCCGGTTGTCGAAGGCGGTAGCCGGTAGCCCAGCTCCCCACGCCGTTTGCAAGGCCTTGCAGAGCTTGCTGAAGGACTTTGCAAAGACCTGGTGGATCCAGAGGCTGAACTTCTGAGCAGTGCCACATTTTACTGTGGAATGGATGTTTTGGGGTACTGTTAAGTGCAGGAGTTCCACTTGGATTTCAAGCACGCCTGTCCTCCGTCTGATTCGGCAATGTCCACGGAGGCTGGACCTTTGCAAGCTGCTGGATCAATCTCGAGCTGCGGACTTCTGCCAGGACAGAAGCTCCCAGCGAAGTGACGACACCGATCACTGCTGAGGAGTCAGCAGCGCGGGCCGTGAGCTGTTTCATTCTTTCAAAGTCATGTCATATCATGGGAACGTGCTGGTAGCATACAGCATACACTGTAAAGCAGAGCCGTATGTTTCAACACCTACAGATGGGGTCTCCGCCGTGCCTCGAGTGTGAGAGACAGTGAGAGATGTATATTTCGCACTGACAGCAAGCAAGCTTAATGCGACATGCAGTGACATGGATCATCCTGCTTTCCGAGCTCTCCGAGACTAGCTGTCTATGCATGCTCGTTTTGTTTGTAATCACACAGGCCAAATTGTCGAAGCCATCCAGTGCATAGCGTTGTCACGCCCGGTCCACATGCACTCAAATGCATCTTGAACCCTAACCTGGTCTCGTGATAGCCTTAGCACATTGGCCGCGACAATTTGCTGAAACACACACCTGCGGTGTGTTGTAACTTGCAAATTTGAAGCCAGACTTGCAGAAGTTGGGCCGAATGCTGTGAGAGCACTGTCGAGTACAGAGCTCCATCCTGGTTCAGTGCCCAAACCGCTAAACCGGTATTACATGGACCTTCAGCCCTCGCCCCCGTGATTGACCCTCCTCTCCTCCTTTGCACCGTCTTCGAAAGTGAGACGCGGCATCTGCCTGGTGCAGGTTTTGTGGCCAAGGCAGCAGTGTAGCACAGCACGAAGGAGCATACTGGAGCCGTGACAAGATTGCTGCTGCTGGCTGTCAATGTAGCAGTTTCAGGGCGCCCAAGGAGCCCTGGCTCCACATGCATTTCAGGTGGCATCCGACCGAAATCTATCGAGTTTCCGGAAGTCGATAGCTGCAGCAGACTTTTGAAAAAGTCGGACGCCGGAGCTGTGCATGTGCGAAATTCCTTTGTAAGACGCGGCTTGTAAAGCCTCTTCAGCCACTGCATTGAGAGGAACGGCTTCGCCTCAGTGTGATCTGAGGAGGTGGCTACTCGCACTGCGCGTCAGCTTTTTCCGGGGAGCTGCCTCGACAAACTCACGGGGAGACGTGCAGCAAATGAGTGACGCGACTGTGTGGGGACTCTGCATGCAGAGTGTTGAAATCCAGGCGAGCTTCGATTTTCATCCATCTTTGATGCTCCAGCGAGAGACCGCAGCATCTGATAGCGCTCATTTACGCAACCCCGCGTCGACCAATTTCATATCGTGAAGTCGTGAAGCAGCTCGGCCAGCGAGGCGGGGACATGCGGCACATGCGGCACTGTTTGGCAACAGAGCTGAGTTGAGTCGAAGAGGCCTGCTATGCAAGTAAGCTTACTTGTATGGCTGCTGCCTTCACTAGGAGGCGCCGCTCGGCACTTCCGTCGCGCAGGGCTAAGATTCACGACTGTCGGGGCTGCTCTCGAGGATGCCACTGGATTCAGCGACAGCACCTCAAGCAAAGCAATGCAAGCGAGCGTCTCAGTGACTCACCAGTGATCGATGGAGGGTTCAGACTGCCTTCTCGGAAGGCTCTGCTCTCAGCACGCTTCCCGAGTCCGACGGGTCCGACGGGTCCGAGTCCCGAGTATTCCCGAGTCGTCGGAGTCACTGCAGTGCTGAGTTCCTCACACCTTCGGCCTCCAAGGCTCCGTGAGACCAACATCTCACAGCACGCCGGCTGATGTTTTGTGTACCGTGGCTGCGTGGCTCCGTATGTTGGCTATCATCTTTACTGCCAGGTCTACTTGGCGGTGCATCAGCGCCGGGCAACTCTTTCAGGCCCCCGTACAACGGGTGCCGAGGGGGGGTGAAAGAAGCCTTGACAGGTCTATTCCAGCTCAAGCCCACACCTGCCGATTGCGGAAGGTGCAGCGATGTGCTGAGGTTAGAGTTGGGCTCTTTTCGCGGTCGAAACTGATCTCCAGACTCCTTCAGGAGGTGCTTGTTTTGCTGGCTTCACCAAATTCTTCTGGGCAGCGGTGCTTGCGTTGTACCCCAGCTGCACTGGTACATGTAAGAATTGAGCCACGAATGCAAGGTCACCTGGGCGAATTCAGGAGCAAGTAAGCGAGTGTGAGTGTGTGTGTGTGTGAAACTCCTGTTCCTAAGGATTGAGTCTGTTTCTTGTTCGGTACTTTTGTCTAGTCCAAACTGTGCACTTTGTGATCCTCTGTACCAGATGATACAATGTATTCAATTTCATCAAGCAGGGGGCTGGCAGCCTATTCCGTGATGCCAGCCAGCGAAGCTAGCGGAATAGGTGGAAGGAGCTATGGACGCATAGCTCTGTACCTGCTGCAAGTTTCACTTTCGATCTGAAGTGATTGTAATTTCCTCTAGATGTTAGCCTCGAGATTCCATCTTTATTCCAGTGTATACTCATCCTGCAGCTAAAATCTTTTGTTGTCAATCGTGCAAGGATTCAAGAAGGCTCCATTAGCTGTTAGATGCATTCTTAACAAAGGATAACGAAAGCTGAACAAAGACATATGAAACAACAAAGAAAAAGTGACAACCGGCATCGCCCGGATGATGCAAGTGTGTCTTTTCGGCTGGTAATTCTGACAAAGGCCCAGTCGTGAAGGATGCTAGCCGCATCCCCTCCCAAGCATACCCCACATGAAACTTGATTACATTCTGGCATTAGACCAGACTTCTTCCAAGCTGCCCAACGTTCTTTAAAGGCTAACGCAATCCCAGGTATACCCCTACCAGAAAGCACCCTAGCATCTCTGGTATGTCTCATCGAGGTGTATCAGACTTTTTGTCATTACATACCCAAGCAGTCGTTGCTTACCCAAAAGAGCGTTATCGCTCCAGAATACCCAATGTCGTTCCATTAGTGGAATGATTACCAAAAGCTGATCCATTGTTTTCAATGCTATTGCTTGCTGCACTTGATGCAGCGTCCCTATGCATACCAAAGCATACCCGGGGCCGAACCAAGCATACCCAAGATGGTTTGATCGTTCGTCTCGTCATACTTGTCGTTTGTCGTTCGTCGGTCGTACAATTCAGTTGTGCATCGTCAAAGACATTATGCTCAAGACGGGCAAAGGCAAGAGACATCATCAATCAGTATGTAAAACAATTCACTTTATTTCATCTTACATCCTCACCTTTATTTCAAGCTTATCCATTGTTGATGTCATTCATACTTTCATCTTTCCACTTCTTAAGTTCTTTCATAGTCTTCGCCATGCCGTCTGTGCAAATCAATGTGTATCGCAATTATTCAACGTCAAGAAGTAGAACTACTGGAAGAAGAAGAAGTAGATCACCGCGCCGAAGAAGTAGATCTACGGGTCGAAGAAGAGATCGATCTACTTCAAGGAGGTCACATTCTAGGAGGCGTCGTAGACAACAACGTAGTGATGAGCCTCCAAAGGATTGGTTGGGAACAAGAGAACCTCCAAGGATTTGGAGGGGAGCAAGTACTGCCCGAGATCTTCCCCAAGCTGTTCCTAGCCATCAACCTGCTCCTAGCCATCCACCTGCTCTTAGCCTTCCACCTGCATCTTTTCCACCTGCACCTTTGCCACCTCTTGCACCTAGTGGCCCTGCATCTTCAACTGGAGCTTTTGTACGGATTTTCGGGAATATGGTTGCTTCTCTCCTGATGGTGTTAGTACGGAACGACGATTGCTTCTAAGTAAGCGATATTTGTCGGGACCACTACCACCTGTTGGAAAGGATGCTGATGTTCTTTATGAGATGCAAGAATCCCAGCAGGTTGAGATTCCAAACCCTGCACCTCATATGGGTTCCCTGCCGGTTACATTGTTGGACAGTACGCTTTGGAAGCCATGTGATTTTATGGAGCTCAACACCTATGCCAAGCGCCGAGCTTTTGTTGAGCCGATTATTCACAAAGCCTTGCAAGTTCCTGAAGCTACTTTACAGCAAGTTTGCACCGAGCTGATTTCGATGGTTTCCAAGAAGGCTCCAATGTTTCCTTTGGATACCAAGACCCTCCAAACTTTTGCACTGGCTTTGATTGCAAATGATCTTTCGATTTCAAGCATTGTTGAGGAGGGTGCTAGATGGCAGATTGCAGGTGTTAATATTTGGCTGTTTCGGCTGAAAGGAATGCCTGGACCTAATTTTGCCACGGTACCTTTGCAAACCAATTCGTATTATCATTGGTATCATGCTGGAGGTTTGGAGACAGTATTTGGAGCACTTGCAACTGGGACTATTCTTCCCTGCTGCTCTGATGGGCTTCAACTTCCACCTCAGCTGCCTTTGCCTGGTTTCTTTGCTAGAGTACGACGTGAAGATACCCAGATTACTGAAGAGCAGCTTTTGCATGATTGCAAGGAAATGCATTCTCATGGAAAGAATGCGCAAGGTGTTCATTTTTCTGGAGCAATACTTGGCAATCATATTAAGCTTCCTCGATCTTCTACTTGGCTGGAGCAGTTTACTTGCTTTAGAGCTGGTCTTGTAAAGAGCAAAAGCACCGGCAAACGTTGGTGCATTAGAGCTGATTGTGGCAAGATTCAGTTCGTTTGCCTGACTTGCAAGCCAGTTGTATAATTCGTTTCACCCGCTGTTTGGATAATAGTGGAGTCGACAACTCTAATTGGATGCACAAAAGTGTGAGGGTCATCTCAAGCTTTCATTTCGTTTGATGCATTGCAAAGTTGGTACTGCTCAAGTTTATTGACATATTGTTCACTGCATTTGTTGTTCCTCTCGTATTGGCTTAAGGATCTTTTAGCTATCATGGCGGCTAGAAACAAGCATCGCTTCAAGAAGCATCACTCTAAGAAGAAGAAGAAGTCCTCAAAGAAAAGACGAGCCCCTTCTACTTCATCAAGTTCTTCAAGTTCGTCGTCAACAACCACATCTTCGTCGTTTTCATCATCTTCGAAGCCAGCCCCTAGTGAAGTGAAGGGACCCGAGCTCCAGCATAGATCATGGGCTACAAAAGGTCCAGTGTACATTGGGGAAACTTATCAAGACCCAAAGGATGGAACAATCATCAAAGTTGTTCGGGCCACTAACCGTTCTCGCTTACATTATGCGGAGCAAGAATTTCGTGAACATTGGCCCAAAATTCACTACTGCTGTAAGGATCCTGCATGTCATCTTTGCGCCGATTATTGTCGAACTACTCGTGCTAACTTGTGTCTTTCTGTTGTTCAGAGCATGCGCAAAGTCGACAAACCAAATGGATCTAAGTTCAAGAAGATCGCTGATGAAATCTTACGTACCCGCTGAAAAGATGCTTATCGTTGCCTGCGTTACAGATTGTTGGTTATGGTCATTACATTGAACTTGCTGATTTCACAATGATTTAGCAGTTTGTCCTCAAGGTTCATCTTGTATCCCTTCCATCCCGTCCACAACCAACATGGCGGCTTGGTGGAACCAGTATGACTACAACGACAAGAAGGGTGAGCAACAGTCCTGGTCCTACGAAGAACCAGCAGCAACCACCAAGAGCCACCCTTGGTCAAATACTGGTTTCAACTACAAAGGCGATTACAAGAAGTCTTCTTGGAATGATTGGCACCCCGAAGATTCTGAGGATGAATTAAGAAGCCCCCAGGGCAAGAACAAACAGGAGCTTCATCTTCCAGCAGACTTTTGCTCAGATGATAAATGTCTTGATAGTCGCGAGTTGTTTGGGAGGAAGTTTTATGGGAAGGTTCAGCTTACGAATTGGTCCCAAAAGCATGGTCTTGCTGGTAGAGATATCAGTGACTTGAAGCTTCATGAGCTAGCCTATGGAGGTTGGAATAATTTCTACCTCAGGCATCTTTCCACTGGGGCCTTTACGACGATTGTTTTCTGTCGTAAGATTAATGAGTCAATGTTGGCTTCAGCACTTTTGGCTGCAATTCGGGAGTCTAAAAGACGATGGGACATTGACAGCTTAGCTCGGGAGTGCGGAAAGCGTCATCCCGAATTTATTCCTTCTTCCGCGGCATCTTCGAAAGCTGAAGAACCGAGTAAAGAAATTCATACTCTGGTCAACTTTCTTATTGCACAGTCGGAGCCTTTTTCCAATGAGGATAAGGATCATCAGATTCGTATGCTTGAAGTTAGGTTGGCCGAGAAAGGTAAAACTACGCCCCCTTTGCTTCCTTCGGGTAATTTGCCTGTTGCAGATTCGGCCAACATGGCGCAGCCTTCCAAGCGCCGTAGGATTGCTGTGAAGAGCGATCTTACCAAGCATTTGTTCGACATGAATATTGGTGTTCATGATCGTCCCCTTGCTACATCTGCTCCTTCTAGCCACAGTGCTGCAACTGTAAAGGAGTGGTGGACTGGTTTGAAGGTCAAGAATATGGAAGGGCTACAGAATGTTCAGGCCCGTGCCGATTCCATTTTGGCATCCCTTAGCGAGGAACAGAAGACCCAATTGAAGGATCGTGTATGTTCCCTGGGTTTACCTTTTGCTGTAGCTGCCAAGTGCAAGGATTTGGAAGCCCTTCGCATTATTTTGGCAGCTCTGTACATGTTGGATATCTGATGCCCAGCAATCAATGCCTGCTTCGACTCATCTGATGTTTCAATGTTTGGACCGTGGATTGTTGCCCTCATGGCAATTCTTCAAGCTTGTTATCTTCATCAGGTAGATTATAGCCTTCGGCTTCCCTGCCGGCCTATGATTGGTTATCTTGTGATCTTTATTCTTTTTCACAACATTGGTTCCAGTCTACAGGTTCAAACTTGGAGGCGAAGATTGCAGCATTTCTCCCAGATATCCCTACAAGGTTTTTCAAGCATGATGCAACGACAGTTCGCAGTATATGCACTGCTTCATGTCGATGCCGAACCTACAGGACGTGGATCTTGGTTGCAAAACAAGACCTTCTATGTGGGTAGCACTATTACTGGTCTTCATGTTCGGCAAGATGTAAGATGGCGAAAGCATAGATGCTTGGAGCAAGGACAGTTTGTTAATGTGGAACTGGTTATGCATTATCTTCATCCTCGAGGTCTGCTACATGAAGTTGCTATTTTGCCATTGTTTAATTTGGTTGATGCAACTGACACCCGATCACGAGAACTGGAGATTATTCAAAACTGGCGACCTACGTACAATCATCCTTGGATCAACAAGCTTCACCCTACCTCCACTTTCCGAACAACCAAACTTACACCATTCAAGCTCTTGGTTATACAACCAAATCTTCTAGACTTTGGCAGAAGGTTCGACGAAGGATGCAATCCCTGGGTATTCTTCGGTTCTATATGGACTCTATCTCTTCTTCTCAAGGTTGGGATCTTCTTATGATGTTGGCTGCTGGGGGAAGATTAGCCTTTGAAGCTTCTCGACGACTTCGATCATCGGAACTTTCGCACTTGCATATATTTGCTTTGCATCGTTTATCCAATCATCTTGACGATCCACCGAGGACTAGAGTCAAGTCGTTACTGGTCCAAGTTCTTAAGTTTAGACAATTGGCTGTACCAAAACAACGCAAGCCTTTGGTCATTCCCTTACTGGCACATACTAGCTTTAAGCAGTCTGTTCGGACTTTTCTGCGCGATCAGATTCGCTTGAACAAGGAGTTTCTGATACCTTTTCATTTACCTTCAGTACAAGTGGTTGCCGGTAAACGTCAGTCTATGAAGGATCTTTTGTACAATCATCTACAAGTGCAGAGATCTTGGTCATGGTCTACGCCACCATCCTGTTCGTGTAAAAGTTTGCTTCATCAACATCCTGAATTACACCTTGCACAAGGTCATATTGCCTGAAGAAGCTTAATGTTTCCAAGCGACTTCGTCATATCTTGAGCTTTTCTGCAGATACACCAGTTGCACCATCAGTGCAGGATTATATTGCTGGTACATCAGTCAAGGTGCAACATTGGATGTCCCAGAATGGTATCAACCGCTATGATCCGACAGTTTGGAATCGTTTCATTACCATCAGTGGCCTTCTCATGTACAAGCCGCCTGGGTGACGGTTAAGAAGAAGGATATTATGTTTCTTCGTCAGCTTCTGCGAGGATTTGTGGTTCATGGACGAGACCATGCCATCAACGAGATGTTTATGTTTTGCCCTCTTATGTATTGGCAAGTAGTGAAGGCTACCTTTGGGGACCAACAAGTTTATCGATCAGTGTCACCAATGCAGACCGAGCAATTTTTGCTACAACAATCACAACAAGGCTGGTTGAAGAGGTATCCTTGGGGCCGTACTACATCGTCGTCATCACTTCCAATTGCGTATGTTTTACTCAAGCAGAAGAAGAACTTCCAGGTTGCAAGACCCATTATCAGCTACAAGTATTTCATCTTTGCTAAATTATTTCGAGCAACTGCTATCGTGCTCGACATCATTGCTAAAGAGACAATGCCGGACAGTTTTGGACTACAAACCTTTCCTGCTATGATGCATCAGATTCAACATTTTCTCAACAGTGTATCTGATGATTGTTGCTTGGGGTGTTACAACCAAGACCTGGTGGGATTCTTTACCAGCATTCCAGTTAGCCGAATTATGGAAGCTGTTGATTGGATGCTACAACAATTTATGTTGAAGCACAACCTGGATCCTGCCACATACTCTTTTAGTGTTAATTTGTCTGAGAAAGACAGCAAACTTAGGGTTTGGAAAGGTAAGGCTAGAGCTGCGGGAAGACGAATGTACCAGATCTACTTTCGGGATATTTTAGCAATCGTTCGCATATCATGTGATTCCAGTTACTTCACAGTACTGGGAAGAGTGTTTGCACAACAAAGGGGAGCAGGTATTGGCAAGCATCAGTGTTGCCTTTTTGGAGCAAGCCTGGTACAATAGGTTTTGCGATTATCTACAGCTACATCGTCATCGATTTCTTTGCCTTCGGTATGTTGACAACAGAGTCGTTCTTATTGACAAGGAACTCATTTCACATTCAGCTTTTCAAGAGTTTCTACATGATGACTTTTATATTCCCCCAGTACAACTGGAAGCAGTAACCACACCTGGAGTCCAATGTGAGTTTTTGGGCTTTGACATTCAACTTCAACCCACTTATGCAGTGGAGATGATTATGACTTCAGACCATTGGAGATTTCGGCTACCTTCTTCCATTCAGGTTGCATATTCCTCTACATCCTTGTATACGTCACGCGCTAGCAACATTCGGAAATACGTCTGGCCTGGAGAACGTAGAAATCGACAACTTACCGATCTTGACATGATCTTTTGGCGAATGCAACTTGAGTATTAGGGAGACTTTGCTGTCATTTCAGAGCCGCTTCGGTTGCAGCTTAGCCTTTCATTTGTTAGTCATGAGTGGCAATGTTAACTCCGCCATGGAGCCGTTATTGGCCCTAGATCGATGGATTCGTTATACCCAATGCGAATTACAATCTCTTCGGGCTGATGCAATCCAACAAAGGGAGACGGACAAGTTCATCCAAAAGATCCAGCAATCACAGCTGGATGCTCTTCAATGCCAAGTTCGTGAATTATCCCAGCAAATGAGTGAAGTTATGGAGTCGGTTGCTGAGCTTTATGGCCATATTAAACAACTTCGCACCGCCCTTGACCATATTGTGAGTGATTTTCGTAATCACTTTGATTCTCTACCCCGTACACAACTTGCTTCAAGTCAAGGTGCTTTCACAATCGATTAGGTCTGTTTCACCACAATCACATGCCACTTTGAGAGACAAACAAAAGTCCGATTATCTGTATCTTGTCTAAATTTTCTGTTGGCAACCGGTCCCAACCGGTTGCGCGTGTGTGAAACTCCTGTTCCTAAGGATTGAGTCTGTTTCTTGTTCGGTACTTTTGTCTAGTCCAAACTGTGCACTTTTCCTCTGTACCAGATGATACAATGTATTCAATTTCATCAAGCAGGGGGCTGGCAGC